AGTGTCCCACCGCGGGCCCTCCACAGCCGTTTTGGTAAACGCGCGGGGAAGCGGAGCCTGGAGAACTCCGGCTGCCAGCAGAGCTGCCCGCAGCCTCCTGGACACGGCCATTGTGCCGTCGGTCCCGGTTTTCCTCACACGGGGAGTCCTGCCTGGAAAACCTCCCCCCTCCCCGCTGCCGGCGGCGGACCTGTAGCTTCTTGAGAAGTAGAAGTACCCCAAACAGCACTGCTGTCCTTTTAAACAGGATCCTGTCCAAATAGAGTCTGGAGAAACTCATTAACAGGCATAGGCATACGTGAATATGGGTGGGATTACACTACCAGCTAATTTAAACAGAAAACTCCCTGGAGCACAGGCTCGCAGGACACTCAGGGGTCCGTCTGTCCGTCCATCCATCCATCCATCCATCCTCTTGCCCAGGCCTCTTCAGCAAGCCTGTCCGACTCCTGATGGCTCTCCCTTGCCGCAGATACGTGCACTGGTTGAGCCGGAGATGAGGTACAATAGGAACATATGAGCTCACCTCTCCCTCACCCTTAGTTTAAATTCCTATTTCCATAATAGCTATCTTGGGATACTTCTGGAATGAAAATGTTCAAAATAACAGGGGGAAATAAGGGTCAATAAACGCTGCAGTAGAGCTGTAACATACAGAGTGACAGGTGTGCTAAAATGTCACTTATTTTGCACACCATTCTGGCTAATTTTCTGTATTTTCACCCATAGCTGCTTGAGGAAAAGCCCTGAACTTCGAAGAATCCTATTAAACTGCTTAATTAAGGCAGCACAAAACAAACAGTGTTTAATCTAGGCGGTAGCTGGGCCACATGACACAGGCATTACTGATGGGTAGATTTTCTGGGGGGGGTGGTTTTCAGGAGCTGGGATATAGTGCTTTTATGTGGGTTTTAATTTGTTCATTGCACCTTAAAGGCATGGACGATTTCACAACTTTCATGACATCCAGTAGCAGCTAGTGAGATAAACTGTCAGAATGGAAATCTTTTCCAGCAACAAGGTCACCCATTTCAACTGGGAGCATAGAAATAAGCCTGCTTAATTCAGTAATCCAAATCAGGGCTGGCTTGGAGTGTGAAAATTTGCCAAATTCTTCATGTTAGCAAATACAGATTTAAAAATAAAGCTGTATCTGGGGTCAGCAGAGCTTTCCCTTGGACTGGGCAGTAACTAATGCATTTTTTAGTCGGAAAGGAATCACTGAAACTGGTTCCTTAAACTAAAAGACATTACCAGCTGCATAATTGGAGGTGGCCAGAAATTCCTGAATCTGTTCCTTTGTAATGCGCATCCTTTACATCCACTGAATAGCAGAGGTGATGCACGTTCAAGCGTCTCTCAATTCTGCTTCGTAACATAGTTCTCCACACCCAGTAAAACCATATTTGTTCTGTATGATTTCCTTTACAAAATGCCATAGAAAGCAAGACTCTCCCTTCAAATAAAAATCTGCTGCGAAGAACATCTCTCCATATGTTATTCATGGAGACACAGGTGACTGCAGGCAGTATGGAGCGGTGTGTCTATGGGAAGGGGATGTCCTAGGCAGGGGTAGTGGGAGGCTAGTGGGGCGGCAGCAGCTTGGTCTTGCTCCAGTGGGTTGTCCAGTGAGTGATTCCTGTTTCCCCTAAGGCTGCCTCTCATTAGCATGAATCGGGGGAAGGGCATAAAAGACTCCAGTTCATTTGGAGTCTGGAAAATCTTTACTTCAAAATGACAACCAAAGTGTTCTGGCTTCTCTGCTTTGTCATTAGATCATCTTCCAGCTCCGTGGCCGGTAAGTCTGTTAACATTCGAAGCAGGGCCAGGGCATATTTGCCTTTGGGATCAGGGGAGGCTGAACATGTTACTACATTTCTTGCTTGAGCAGCCCTCTATGGCTGTAGTCTTTTCAGCAAGCGGTAGAACTAATCAGGTAAGGGCTCAAGAGAGAAACATTTCAACATGTTTGTGGGGTGGGAATGTAAATTGCAATATTTGATTTGTCAGTGTTTGAAGGAATTAAGAGCACCTGCCAAAAGCAGGCAGGCAGCCGGTGCCATGAAGCCTGCTAGCCATCCCTCAACAGCTGGAGCTTGGCTTGCTTCTGCTTCTGGGGTATTTTATTTGTATTTCACCTTTCCCTTTTAAGTCTCCCTCCCCTCATCTGTAAACTCCAAGTTTCTAATTCATTTCCACATGCTCTGTGCAATGTGTGCCTGCAGCAAGCTGTCCTGAACAGATTATTTAAGAACCACATTGACAGAATAGAAATGTCCATCTATTCCAGTGGGAAAGAGCTGATTATGTTGCAGTTGTATTTCTTAGGTTGCAAGAGCTAGGCAGGAATATGCTGGTGTAGAAGAACTATCCTCAAGGTCCTGAATAGATTGAATAGAGAAAAATGAACTATTTTTTGTTACAATCTATGGCGGGGGGGGGGGGGGGGGGGTGGGGGGTGTTGGAATTAGGTGATCTTAAGATCCTTTCCAACCCTAACTATTCTATGAGAAGGCATGATAAACTGGTAGAGAAGCATACTGATAACACCAAGTCCAAAACACCTGTTCAGAGATTACAGCTTCATACTGAACCATCTCCAAAACATCCTTGCCTATTGCTTTCTTTAGCTTGGACTTCTTCCACTCTGTCCTTCATGGACATTCTTTTGACTTTATGTGTGGCCAGCCCAAATATCAGAGAATCTTTCCCATGACAGCAGCTGGTGAGAGCAAAGGGGGAGAAGTGGCAAGGTCAGAAGTTGAATCAGTTATAGAAGATAAACCAGGACGTTGTTCATCTGTGTATGTCAAATATCTCTTTTCACATAAGGAGTTAGGATCAGCCTCCTACACGATGCTAACCACAGACAGTGAACACCCAGACGGTGGCTGTGTGTGGGTGAACTGTTTTAAAACTCTCTGGCTAACTAGAGGCATGCAGTGGAGGGCTGAAGTGAAAGGAAAATGAACTGCAAGAGGGAATTTCTCTCTTCCCAGGCTAGATGAAAAGACATTTTGCTTTGTGAGGTCCAAGTGACCAAGGTGAAGGTACAAATGAAGACCTAAGTGACTGCCCAGCTTGTGTGAACAGATGCCTTTCCATCTTTCACTAGATTCCCAGACACTTCCTCTCTTTCTCAACCCTTGTCCTCTCAAGTTAAGAAAAGCCTTGAAATAATGGTTACTCAGCAGCAATAGCCTAGCTACCAGTACTGCTACTGCACAACTCCGCAGTGGAAAAGTCAGAGATCCAAAAATGTGGATAAAGATCTTTTCAGTAGCATTCAAAGCCTCTGAAGAGTCCAGATGACATTGTCAATAAGGCATCCCATGGATGGGAAAACCAAATAGTTCTGTTGTCATGGTCTTTTAAACAAGCATCCCAAATGGCAACGTGAACCTTGTTTCCTCAGATGCTCCCTGGAGATTCAGGCTTTTGAGAAAAGGGTTTGTTTTTAATTTGCAACAATAATAAAGTAAAAATGCAAATCTCCTGTGTTTTGCTCACACAGCTGCATTCTCTGTGCTGGGCCTTCTATGGCTGAGCACAGAACAATGAGGAGCTCTACTATATTTCATCTGTTGAACTATTTATCAGTTACATTGTCTGATTGTTGAAGGTCGCCCTTTGCAGACTAGAGCCTCCAATCTGCCAGGCACATCCCATTCAGAAGCACATGGAATACAGAAATTGAAGTGCTAATTCTTTCTCTCCTTTTTTTGTGTGTGCAGGATCCCTGCCCTACGCTGAGAAAACCCGTCAGACTCTTAGCAAAGATGCTTATAGCTCAGCAGACACTGCACCAGGCCACGTCAAACTGCCAGCCTGGGGCACCAGCAGTGCCAGAGAGAACCACACGGAACACTGGCTCCTGCCTCCCGCCAACCCGCAACGGCCAAAACCTGAAATCACCTTTCTCTCCTCAGACAAAAGGAAACGCACCAAACCTGTTCTAGAGAACAGCACAGGGCTGAGGAAACACCTCCTGCAGTATGGAGGGGTCCTGCCACTGGAGAGCACGACTGAGAGGCCTTCTCCTGCCTCCTTTGACTTCAACCACGCCAACAGAAAGCACGCGGACAGGCGGCTGGCTGAGGCTGCCAACAGCGTGTCGGCTCACTTCCACCACGCAGCATCTTCCTATCACAAGATGACATCCTTAGTGGAGACTCATCTTTTTCCAGACTCTGGAGCGGTGGAGGCAGGTGATCCTAATGCACTGGATCACTTCAACCGACCAGGCAAGATAATCCCCTATACACATACCGATCCCTTCAAAAAGATCACCAAACCCTCCTGGGTTACCAACCGCCAGTCATCCAGCTTGCCGTACCAGCTCAGCGCACTGAAGAAAGGTAAGAGGATAGAGTGCTTTGGCAAGGGATATTGTGAACTTTCTGAAGACTGGGGGGGCATAGTTTGGATGAAATACCTGGTCCCTCAGCCTGTGTGCCTATTCTAGATGGTGATAAGGAGAAGGCATGTCTGACCGAGTGCAGGAAAGAGAGAGACGAAGTGGAGGCCTACTGCACAAGTGAGTTTGGTAAGTTGTGTCCTCCACGAACCACACAGACAAAGTACAGGCCACCTTTGTTCATCTATTGCTGACATTTCACTTCTGCTTTTAAGACACTGTTTCACTGAGACTTTTAAATAATTATTAAGTACAATAAAAAGACCCGTCACAGCTCTTCGTAGATTTACTACAACAAACAGTACCCAGTCTTATGTTGCCCTTTCCCTACCTTGGGCTAGTACTGCTCTTTTTTGTTTCCTCCCTTCCCAATCCTGGGAGGAAGATAGAGTTCTTGCTGCTGGTCAACAGAACTGAAAAGACCAATTGCTTTAAATACTCTAAGGTATTGTAGCTGTGTTACTTACCTCTTACTATTTTAGAATGAGTTTGTGATTTTGGGAGCTGAAGTTTCAAATGACAATAAAATGGTGAACCAAACAAAAATATAACTGTGATCCTCTCTGTACAGAGGATCCTCTTTGAAGTTCCTTAGGATTCCATGTCTTTAGTCCTTGAATCCAAGTTGATGTAGCTAAAGATGGTAGAAAAAAGCCTGGCATTGTTGTACCGTGTAAGCAGCAGTATTTTCTGACTGAAATCGTGCCTTGTGCTTCCGAAGTTGTGAAATAGATACCAACTTTTTTCTCACAGTATTTTAAGAGATAAGCAAAATACATGCCTAGTGGTAACAGATGTTTCCATTTGTAGAATATAAACATGTTACGGGACATCTGTTTTCTCTAAATGGAGAAGTCAGGAAGTGCTTTCTACAACTGCTATATTCTGTATTTTTACCACTCTCATGCATTCCTGTCAAACGTAGGTCTGACAGTGACCCAACCTGTGTGCATTTAGCCTTTAACACATGGCTGTCTCACATCTCTTAAACTGGGAAGGGCAGGTAGGAACAATAGGGATCAGCCAAGGCGTCATTGCGTGATCAGAAGGAGCTTTTCATTTCCTTACATTTACATTGGAGATGAAAGAGCAAATACGACTGAAGTTCTAGCTCAGTGAGGCAGGTGTAACACCAGAAGTCCTGTGTGCCTTACCTGCCTAGCACGTTTGTTGTCTTCTGACTTCCGTAGTCAGCTCAGCACTTGTTAAAAACAGAAACTGGGTGGAGAACATGATGTGATCGAAGGTAGAACATGGCCTGCTTGGTGCCCTGGCCTCCTGGAGTGACAAGGGCCTCTTCCTTCAAAAGCTGAAGCGTTTCTTTAGCAGGTCAGCTTTGTACTTCATGGGGAAGTTTTAAATACAAATATTTTACTTGGTTAGGTAAATACATCCACTTTTTATATGGAACACAGTACTAAACCCATCACTTCCTTTGAATCATTTTATAAACTCCACTAAGAAACATCTCTAGACCTGTAAAGCACAAGCAAGTTAGTAACTCAGCAAAAACTAAGGTGATGACCTCACCAAATGTGCTGATTTGAAGCAGCTCCTACTTTCAAGACTGCCCACTACTGAGCCAAAGAATTTCTGACACTTCACAGCGTTTTAGATGACAGCCTTCACATGTGCCCTGAGTTACCACCAAGATACCTGACCTGATGCTTCCTTTTTCCCCCCTCCCCCTTCCTCAAACCAGCAGTGAATGGGATTGTTTATAACATGGAAAGGCTGGGGAATGGCGTCCACCTGATCACGCTTTTGGTAAACAGCGATGGATTGTACAAGATGAGTCGCCTCTATACTACTCCTGATGCCTTCTTCTTCCGAGTTCACATTCTAGTTGTGGATACTTTAAACTGCAGTAAACCGTGTCCGGACTTGAAACTTGGTAAATAATTCCAGCTAAATCCGTTGTACTGTTCCTCCTGCATGCGGTGCAGTTTGAGCCTGCCCTAGTTTAATAGGCTTAACCTGGGTTGTTGTGAAAATTTGGGAAGAAAAAGTATTTACTCTTAAACTGGAGGGCTTTTTCCCTTCTAAACTTTCAGAAGAGAACCAGCTGTGTGAAGAAGTCAGGTTAGCAGCATAGTCCTTTCTTAACTTTACACAGTTCCAAAATGATTGCAAGAGATTTCAGGACTGATGTCTTTGCAAGTAGCCCAGTTTTCCTCCTAAATGCAAGTTTATAAAATACCAGTATTTCTTCCCCCCAAAAGCTTCTAATTGCAGTACAAGACAGCAAATCGTTATTTCTATGCAAGCACAACCCACAAGCCCCACTGATGTTCAGGGTGCCGCTGTCCTAAGCCACACATCCAGGATCTATTTCTGCAGGGTACAACTTCACCTCTATTCCTAAATCTGCTGCCCTTAGCGCCAGTACCGTGAATGAATCCATGCTTTCTTCAGGGCACAGAAGTCTCATTTGTTTCGCAGGCAGCAGATACATCCTGATGGGTCAGATCTACCACAAGAGACGACAGATCCCTGCAGACCTGCTGCCGTTCCTGCGGGGGCACCTGAGCCCGGGGGATGGTTTGCTTCGGAGCGGCAGCAGCTACGTGAAGAGATTCAACAGGAAGAGGAACCGCAAGGTGCAGGCGGCTCACACCAAATGCAGATAAGGCTTCAGTAACCTCCTCTGATAGGCAGCAGAAGTCACCAACCAGAATAAACCTCGCCACGGTTTAGCAACAGCAAAGGTAGTTATCCTTACGTATGGCACTGGTTGTGATGGGACACTTGCTTTTGTGCTTTAGCAGACACTAATGGAATATCTTGACTAGGTACCCATGTATTGTGAAGTTTAGCACAAAAATCCATCTAGGGAACATTAATTTGCTCCATCTGTTTTCAGAGGTTGTTACTGTCTCCCCCGCTCTAATGTACCCCTAATAATCTAGTAATTGTAAAGTAAAATTCTGGAGGTGTTGTTCTAGGTACACCAGAAGTAAGTGCACTTTGAAACCCTTAACCTTGAACAAACATTAGATGGTACCACAGCTTTAGCTGTAGAAGAGGTCCATAGTGTTTTCACACAACTCTGCCTAAAGCATTACAAGCATTTGAGCCAGAAGAAACCAACAAACCCAAATACCACTTGTATTGTTTTGGTATCCCTAAACATGTCCATGCTACTTTTAAAACCCACATCAAATTCTTCAGAGAGAGCTGGATTTTCACATGAAGCATACAAAATAGCTCTGTTACTGTATGAACACACTAACTGAAAGCAAATCAAGTAACTGTCCAACACAAATGCCCAATTAGGCTTACAAATAATGGCGCGAGTTCATGCCAAGGAAAGCAAAATGAGCACAACTGCACGCCTGGTTACACTGTCAGTTCCTTAAAACTCCAGTCCTAGCACTGAATGTCATTTTCCCATGGTAAGTATTGCTGAGTTTGCACTTTCACGTCAGTAGTTACATTTTGAATCAAAGATACGATCTTTTAGTACCTTTAACGTGGAGGGATGTAAGAACCTATGAAACTGCTGCAAAGGGGCTCCTGACGTTTGCTGTCCCAAGAGGCAGTATTCACAAATTGTGAAGTCTTTAAAAGAAACTAATAAGACGTTTTTAGGGTTTTGGAAGATCCAAAAAGTTTAGGCAGTGATATTAAACAAAGGCATCTCCTCACTTTGCAGGTGGGCTGGGGATTCTGAGATATGTATTTATATATGAAAATGGAAAAATGCAGTCTAGCTAAAAAAAAACCAACCCAAACCAACCCATATAGTGATATATATGATGTGACATGGAAAAGGAAGCAGTGGCTTCTACAAGCATTTTCTGCTTTGAAGCAAAGGTAGCTCTAAGTCAATTCTACCTGTCATAAACATCTGCAGCTTGATTTGACATCAATGCAAAGCTGTGGAGCAGTGCAAGGGCGGTAAGTCACAATGTGTGACGTGTTTCTCTATAAGCCAAATACCAAGAGCAAGCATCATGTATTTTGGGACTTAAAAAGCTGTTACTATAGGACAGAAACTTACTTGTAGCTTGTGCCTATCAAAAAGATACTCTCTCACTTCTGTTACATGCAAGATTTTGCATGGAGCGCAGTGTAGATGGATGGAATTTTCCTGAGAGACTTTGAGGGGGCTCTGTTTGGCAGAACAACTGTCCCTGGCAATGAATCAAAGCACTGGAGTGGACCGGGAGGGACAGGAGAAGGAAGGAGGAAGGGTTATGTGCGCATCTCAAGTTTCTTTGTTTCTGTTTTCCACTGAAGTCCAGGGACTAACCAGCAAGCTCCTACAGTCATCCCTTTGCCCTGAATAGCCATTAAGCACCACTCCCCACCCCCAAGACATTACTGTAATCTAAAACAGGCAAAGCGTGGGTACAAGAATAACATCCATGGCTGTATCTCATTTTGATTGTCTCTTGGAAGAGATAAATAGAAGTAGATCAGGGTGGATGACATCCAAAGCCCCAGCAAAATGCCAGTAACTGACACACGATGTCTGCACCATCCTCCAATACAGCTATTGCTCTAGAAGCAAAAGAAAACCAAGCTGGGATAGTTCATATTACCACAACCTGTGTTATGTATGTGACCATTTTGAAACAACTGCTGCAGTAACTTGTAACAGTAGAAAGAGGAGCATTACGGAACAGAGATGACAAAACTTTGGAACTTACCATGCTTTTAAGGAAGTGATGTATTTTCAGTGACACCACTTAACTATAAAAGATCACCACTAATAAAGCAAGAAATCTACTCCAACTTACTCACTGGCAATTGAAAACACTAAAACCAGGCTCTTGGCACAATTACACTGTATGTACGGATTATTTCCCTGATCAACCTGATTCACTGGAAGCTATACATCATCTGGCAAAGCCAAGACCTATATATTATTATTAAATGTTTCATTAGAAACGCCACCAAATCCATGTCAAACACATCACTTTATTTGTCTAGGATGACGTGTCCTATAAGGTACAAAAAAGTACTCTTCAGTTTGCCACAATTTGTTAAAAACAGCCATCTAAAGCCTACAGGTAGGAAAGTTTCAAATCAAGTCATAGAGATTTATAGGTGAATAAATAGTACAGAAATACTGTGATGTTCTGGTGAGATGCAGGGTATGTTCAAATGCTGTTAAAGTTGAGAATTCCCCTTGTTGCATTAAACCCACAATGTGTACAATATGCAGCATTTCTGTTAAAACGCCAAAAGACAACAGAACCTAAATGCAACTACTCTTCTTTAACTCCAAGAAGCATAAATGGATTATTGTTTTCACATTGAACAGTTATTTTTCATTTGCACACAGAGGTTAAATGACAACATTTGTATGTACAAAAACACGCGGGTTTTTATTAGATAAAATTACCCAGAAGAACCTGTACACCTGAGCCTGGAAGTGTAAGAAAGTGTGGTCAGTAGCAACGTCTTTTTAAGAAAGATAACAGAAGAGGTTCTTGCATAGCAAGGTGTGAGGTTAAACCCAAAAGGAGCTTATCCGTAAATTAGGCAAATCCCAGGCCACTGGAGAAGTCAGCTGTGAGTTAGTGCAAAAGCTAGTCGAATGGTCCAAGAGCCGCAGACAAACCACGGCTGAAAACTACAGACAGGTCAAATGCGCAAGTGAAAGCAATAGATGGGAAGGAAAAAAGCAACATCATCAGCAGTTTGCATCTTGTGCTGACTTCCCTCTGCCCCTCAGCAGCACTCCTCGCACAGGAAGCGGTGGAGCAGCCCCGAAGGAGATACGGTTACACATGGTGCTTCACGGTCCTACAGCGCTTGGCAAAGTACCACCAATGCAGCGGTGGGCAGGACTTCCTACCACGTTATCTGTTACAGGAATTTTGGCACCACTAGACATCTCCTAGAGGGATGACAGCTGCTTTGGAATGCAACGTAGTAAACGCTCCCCTTGGAGCAGAATAAAGTCAAGGTCTCCCTGGTCACTCCCACCCCTACCACTTCGCAGTGTCTACACTTCCGAACAGATCCCCAAAGTGTTACAAACATATCAGTGCACACGCAAAGACACCTACATCTGTGGGGAGAACAATTATCTCCATTTATTTTGTTTCATATACATCCATATTTTGAATTTTAATACAAAAGAAAAAAAATTAGAATCTGACAAATGTTTACAAACAAGATACCTTCAAATAGATTTTACTCATTTCAGTCTGGTGCAGAGTAAATGACAAATTGTACTGTTATATTCAAGGCAACAGAGTCTGTAGTCCATGACCACTTAGCCCAACTTTTATGCAAGCTTAATTGTTTTTATCTACCATGAACGATAAACTCATTGTTGATTCCCAGTTCTGTGTGTGTGCACATGTGTACATAGCAGCTCCTTTCATAGAAAGAAAAGACATCTAGAGGTCTTCTTGTACTTTTACCTACAGGAATCATGTTAAGATACAGAATGGATTACATGTAACCGGGGCTGGATTTTATAAGAAAAAATAATTAGCTGACAAATGAGGGCAGCAATAAAAAAGCGTCTTTTTTGCAACAATAAATAAATACAGTCAAAGTTTTCTGTGTGGACTTTAAACCAGCTTCTTCACTGAAGAACAGACGTGGCATTTCCATGGAGTTAAACGTGACCCCATTTACTGTATCTTTTTTCTTGCTCTCTTTCTCTCTCTCCTTCAACAAAACCAAGTTTTCCTGCTTCTGCCACAATAGTACAACAATTTGATCTTGACAAGAAAGTGGTGCTGCTGATTTTTATCTCTTTGTCCTTTGGACAAAATAAGCCAAGAATATAATCTGACTGTTGTGACCAATAAAAACGCAGTTTACATCAAGTCTCGTCAGGATAACCTGACTAAAAACATCTGGCTTCTTAATTAAAAACTTTCAGACAACCAGATTCTTGCTCGGGTGTGTTAGGTTAAACACGCTGAACTCTAAGAAGCTGTAGACTGCAGTTTGTTGTTATGGGACCTGCAGAATGCAGAAGAAAGTGAAGAATTAAGCACCCTTCATTTTGGAGAACACAGTTGCTGCAAGGCATCACCAGGGGCAAAGCACAATGAGGGAATTACCACCATGTTGCTTCCATTTATTTTCTGAAGGGGAAAAAAACCTAAAACACCACTTCAAATAATTCTCTCTGAATTTTAAGCACAATTTTTCCTCCAGAACACAAATATCTCAGTACTTGTAAAATGCAGTTTTGGAATATTCCAAAATGCCTGAAATCACTTGTCCTCTCATATTTACATAACAGTAGTCCATCAAAAAGGAAAGCAAAAAACCACTTCTAATTGGGAATATTTATAATAATGTATTCTGTGCTTAAACTTATTCAAGAAGTCTTTGGATTGACTTAACAGAAACGGGCCTGTTAAAAATCACATCTTTGCTAATCAGAGTTCAGCAAAACTCCTCTTTGACGTTCACAGTTTTATTAGTGACTGAAAATAAAACAACAAAATACACGGTTTCCAAGATGAATCTTTCACTTCTCTCAATACAGTATTCGAGGAATGGGACATTAGTTTTTGTTAACACAGCTCTGTTCACCAGCACAACTGCTGGTAACAAAAACCCAACAGCATTTACTTTTTTAGACAAATGAGCTGGATTTTTAGGGCAGTTTAACACCATCGAATTGTACAAGAAAAGAAAGTGACCCCAACATCCAGTTCTGATTCCAGTTAAAAAGTTCAGACTAAAGATATCACAATCTGCAAGAAAAGAAAGAACATGGATGGTATAAATGAAAAACAGTAACAAATCAGATGCAGCAATGAAATCAGTGGATGCTGGATAACCAGCTAAAGCAAGATGACAGAAACATGAGTTGAAAGCTACTTGGTCAATATCATTAATGCAGTATTAAAAGGGAAAGAAAAATGGTGGAGTGATTAATTTCATCTCATCCCTTATCATCAACCCTACCTTCATTGTGTATAGAAAACCAGACAGCTTCACAACAATGGGTGTAGAAGCAATGAAGCTTCCAATTTAGTTAATTCCAGATGGATATAATCCTGCATTAGTACCTTAGACTAGCACTCTGCTCTGGTATTGACTGCTACAGTTGGATGGACAAAGTGAACTACTACATGTATACAGTTTCTGAGTAATGCTGAAAGGCATCCAACATTTGTGACTCAGTCACAGCTGGCTTGTGTTGGAACACAGCAGTGATCCAGGAGAAATCTGCAGATTCCGTTAGTGTTTGGAGTAAGCTGGGCTTGGGAACAGCTGTAGTAAATACCACATTAGAATCTGACTAGTGCTGTGCAACTCCCATGTACGTGCCACTAGACGGAACAGGCAAGCAACAGGAAAATGTGTAGTGGAGTTGCATGTTCTTTTTCAGGCATGTCTATGTTAGGGAAAAATCTACATCCATCCTTCCACAGGAAAACATTAAAAAAGAAAGTTTGACTTTAAATTGCAAATTTGATTTGTGCTTCGTTTTCCATATCCTACTTCAAACCTTACTTACTCCATCCCTTTCAAATAAGTTATAAAAAGGTGAGAAAAGTAGTAAAAACTAAAGTATTTACATTTCTTTCACTGGATTATAAATCTCATGGAAGGGTTGTCGCTTTTTAGCAACGAAATGTATTTACTGCACAGTAGAACATTATCAGAACTCAGGACACAGGGTTTGTCCCGAGTAGAAATTATTCCCATTCAGTTTTCTGTAGCAATGACTTAAAGTGTCATTCATATTTGCTACGTTTATAATACTGCCCAAATTTGCATCTAACTACTCATTTGGAACAAACTCTACAGAATAACCTCCACAAAATCATATTTAAACCTGAGTTTGGACAAAACATGGCAGCTGGCTATTATAGAACAGATTTGCTTTCTCCTTTAAAAGGAAAGCAGTTGTCCAGGAAAGTGCATGGAGAGGCAAATCCCTGCATGAATGCAAGGCAAGCCTATAAAAGCATCAAGGAGTTTTTAGAGGACAACAGAACATCTATGATGAGGAACACTTCAGCTTACCTGCTTGCCTTAAATCCTTTTAGTTTCTGTACAAAGAATGATTCAAGAACTTCTGCACATTGGTAAAAAGGGGAGTCACTTGGATTGTAGTAACGACAGTTATCAAAAATTTTGGTCATATCTGCCACAAACTCGGTGACTTTCTTGTAGTAACGTTTCAGTATCCTCTCCTCCATGGTGGCAAGGTCTGGAAAGAAACCAAAGATTCTTAAAATGCCACACTTCCATCCTCAACACGAATTTGCACTGTTGAGCTTGTGGGAAACAGCTGCTTTTGCAGGAACGCTGCTTGTGATGTGGTGACACTATGAGGTCTCCTTCAGAATAAACACTTATGCATGAGTATGTAAGTGTAGCTGAATTAAAATGCAAGATCAAAATCACCTTGGAAATCCTGGGGTTTTTGAAGGAAGCTGTTTGCTTTTTCTGAACAAATTAAGGGAAGAAGTCAGACAATCTGGATTCAGTTATTTGTACTTTACTGACAGCCCTCACTGAGACCAAGAGTCGTATGTGTGCACGTAAGAGCTCTCGAAAGCTTCTGATCATGACTTGTTTTGAATGAATTATCAATTTTCAAGGGCAAATGCACATTATCATGTCCCAGATGAAGGAGATTCAAGTGCAGGATCATGCAAAATGCTAATGCTCTCATTCTTACTAACTAGACACATTAGCAAGACCAGAATGGTGAAGTAAGCAGTAATTGTCCTATTTTAATGCAAATGCAAATGTAAAATGAGGGAGAGGAATCTGATCTGCCAATTATAAATATAGCTGTCTAAATGTATAGTGGCACTTTTAGCTGGAAAAACAGTGACCTGCCCTTGGAAAATGCTCTCAAAGCACTTACTTCGAAATGCCAGTAATGTCAATGTGTGAAAACAAATGTAGGTGGGCCTGGACCACCAAGTGTATTGTACAGATATTGACTTGCATACTTACAAGTGTATTTTACTGCTGGTTAAGCCAGAAAGGACTCAATGCACTCTTGTTTACTTTGTTCAATCATCATATGCTTCTTTACATTATTATTTGAGCTTTCCTTATAAATTATGGAATAGGAGCTGTTTATCATTTTCATAACAGCCCAACCCAAAACTTGGGAGCAGAGAAGGACACAATTTCTAAGCAAAATATTCTTTTCACTCAACACACTATGATTTTGCCAAGATACTAAATTTAGCTTTCCTATTTCTAGGCTCAGTAAGCAGTAGGTGGGAAACCTCAGATGATATACTAGCTCTCATTTAGACATATGTAAAGGTATTGGTTCAGTAACTGTGAAGGAATAATGTTTAGCAACACCATTTCTGGCAGGAGATGGATCTTCCCAAGAGGTTTCACATTTAAGTGCTTATCTAGCCTATTCCTAGCTAACTGGTAAGGTCTAGTCGGATCAGAGTAAAACCCTGCAAAGCAGCAGCATCTCCTCTTCTACTTTCCCCCAAATACACAACACTTGAATCAATTGTTGTTCATACAGCTTTAAAGACAAGTTACATACGTTATGAAATTTAGTATACTCTCAAGTTAGATGAAGATAGTTTTAAACTCCATCACTTAAGTGTATTTGCACCATTTCTCCCTCAAACTTTAGAGCAAATACTCTGCAAATGATAGGAGGAACTGATGCACAAAGACAGAAGAACCCCAAGCAAAGAAAAACAAAGCAAAATTGTCCTCTTGAAATAATTTAAACCCAAAAATTCTATCCTACTGCACCCCTGAATCTCACATGTTGTATGTTAGACTGACAGTATTTAGGGTTAAGGAGTCAGCCCAGATGTAGATATATCAACCCTCAATGATAAATCACATTGTTTCATCTGCAACAGCTGTGTGTTCTGCAAGACATGTCTTCAAGATCAAGACATGTCTTCAAGATCCTTGGCTGGAAATGGTCAGCAGGTGATCCATTCGATATTCAAAACCCTCAATCCACTCACCGCACTGCTCAGAAACACTTACCCATTGGTTCTTTAATAACACCATAATAATCTGGTGCATCGTTGGGATCTACTGGTTCTAGGAATGGCCAAGCCATCTTGTGAGCCTGTCAGGGAAACAAAATACAGTTATGTAAAAAATGAAGTTAAATTAGCACTATTTAGTAGCTAAATATTATTTATTATACCTTTATCTGTTGGGATCTGGAGTTGGATTTAAGGAAGTAGTGCAGCATTATAAGAAAAGCTAACTAGTTCTCATCTGATGACTGGGTAAAGTTTTAAAGCTCAATGTCAATGAGTGTAGTTGGTCCTCAGACCAGGAAATAGTGTGAAATTCAGGCACAACAGGACGCTGTGCTGAACTGGCTGCACAGGACAGGGTTACTGAATTTACTGAGCGTGCCTGGCACTTCACACCTAGAAATCAGCCACTGCTTTCACTTCCACGTGCTCTAAAATTAATTGGTTTTCATGAATGTCTGCAAAATATAAGACAAAGCAAAATAACCAGTCTCTGAGGATCTCTGTTACCACACAATTATTTTACCAAAATTCTTCATGGTTCTAGCAGAAAAGTATATCTGGGAGTGGCAGATAAATGAGAAATGTTGTAATTGATGTAATTGTTATTATCAGGATGCCATCATTTACCTTCCATGAGAACACCACTGAAATCTAACACCTCAGAGATGAAAGCACAGAAGTGTAGATTAGAAATTATAGAAAACTAATCTGAGAACTAAACACTGCACCTTGTACATCCTGTGCAGCTGGGCTTCCACTCTGCCTTTTGGTATTCTAAGTAAACCCGCTTCCTCTAAAAGCCTTCCACTGAAGAGAGCGTTTAGTTTCACTAACTCAGAAGCAGTGATGCACAAACTATTGTAAGTGTTCCTCTGCACAATAACACCAACCAATTTTGCAGCTGACACAATGGCATTTCTCACACAAAAAAAATTCCTTTTCATAAAGTCTCAAAGCCATAAGAAATCCAAACTGACTCCAAGGCTCATAGATATGTCCTGTACACTAAAGCATTCTCTTTGCTGCAATCCTTATTCTCACCTGTAAGGAACGTAGCACTCTTCTTAAACCTTCGTAATCTTTATCAGTTAGTGGACTGAGTACAGTCATGGCATCTTCTGTGGACTGACATTGTGGACACACATATTCATCAATGAGATCTGCCTCACTTTGTAAAATGCCAACGCAGCGCCCGTGATACCAGTTCTGACATCGGTCGCAGCCAATGTAAAATCTGTGAGATCAGAACCAATGTTAGTGACTTGATCTGTTGAATTTAAAGGCTACATTTAAATACATAAACCTGCAATCCCCTGCACACAAGCAAGATACTTGGCACGATCAAATACAAGAGAGTAAAATGATCTTTCAGACAGACAAATTCTAATTACACTACTCAAACTGCTTTTGTATTTACAAACAGGCTAAATCACAGACCATGTCAAAATTAGTTCCTACATGTTACACTAGGCACTTTCAAGCAATCAACATTTCAAAAGTCATTCCTCTGCTTTAGAGTTGGAAGGAACAGGGTAACGCCAGAACTCTCACCCAACCAGCATCCAAACCAATTCAAGACCCATTTAGCACAAACTGGACTATAGCTTGTTGCACTCTGTACAAACGTTTTGCATATGGAAACTTCAGTCTTGTAGTTGCACACAGAAGGAGTATTCTGTGACACAAAGTCTAACAGTAAAAGATACCAACCATTTACCCCCATACGAAAATTATGCTTTCATCCAGATCAGATTAAAGCACAAAAAAATCCACTAAATACATTTGTCTTTTAGTCTTTCTAACCGTCCCTTGTTAAAAAAAGAAAGAAAAAACAAATCAACCCCCATTTGAAGTACTTATTTTAAACCCAACACATTGCGACCACCCTGTAAACTTCCCTTTCCCTCAACATTTACTGTACACAAACATTTCGGAGAGGAATACAATTACTGAAAAGCAATTTGTATTACAAACGAATACAGCATATGCAGAATAACTTCTTTGTTTTTTCTTTGCAAGGAACAGGTAACCACAGTCAGAGCAGTTTGCTACCTAAACATTAAATAAGAGGTTCTTATCAGAACTCACTGTGACTCATCATAAGGTGTTCTGCAGATACAGTACAATTCCTCACTGCTGCCCTCTTGTGCCCGTTTACAATCATTACAGATGTACACATCCATTTTCTTAGCCTCCTTTTCTGTGATGCCAACACATTCTCCATGATACCAGTTAGTACAAAGATCACAGCCAATATAGAACCTAAAAGTATTCACAATGAAAATGACAATGTAATTGTCATTTCAAATGGCATGGCACTTTTCCCTGCATTTCTCTCTGATGCACTGTCTTTGCTGGCCTACTTTCTTCAATTGTCACACTGCTTCCTAGCATTCTATCCTTACAAACTAACATGTCATGCTGCAGCTACACTGTCAGTAAGGTCACATGGGTCAATTTTAAATTGACAGTTCATTTAAATGCACATGAATACGTAACCAGACTTTAGAACAAAACTGGGCTAAAAAGGTCTGTCTCCAATCTGTGTGTGTAAAAGGCACAAAAAGACAAGGCCAAAGGAAAAGATTTACATTTTCAAAACCGCAGCTCCAAAGCCACTGAAATGTTTCCTTAAGATTTGAAAATGTAGGTCTCAGTTAATTTAAAAAACAAAAGCAAAGCGCAAACACCAACTAGGAGTTACAAGTATACTACAAAGAACATGCATACCAGCCATGTGTAGGATACATATTGGTATAACATGATACGAAAGAAAATGGGGTCAGGACATGGTTGTCATAATTTAATTCTTTTTTTTGGGGGAAGGGGAACTCACTGAAAAACAGATCTTAAACTACTCCAAATGGTAACAAATTGGAATGTGGACCATTCTGCAGAGAATTATGTCTACTCTCAGACACAGCTATGTGACGGAACCAGATGTGGTATGACACGAAGTGAAGGGAACCAGGTACACAATCACGTGAATGGGACCTTGCACAGAATGATGTGACAAAACTGTAAAATATTATGCAAGGATGTTTGTCATTTTGTGTATGGAGAGCTCAAAACATACCTATGACTAGTGACAACCAGATGGGCAAAGGTACACATCCATTCTCTCTGCCTAAGCAAAAGCAAGCTGACTCAGAACCTTCACCTTCTTGGATTTTTGGAGACCACTGACCACCTGCCATGTGCTGCTGCAGGAATTACTGCTGCCCTCGTCCATCAGTCTGCAAGCACCACTCACCAATACTCCGCACTAGCAACAGGACTGTAGCTAGCACATACTCCACAGAACAAGCACCTCTGATTTCTTGGGCCTCTGGATACACCCCAGATACTCAGATCCTGCCTTTTCTCTCAATTTTCAAATTAAAACCAATCACACAAGCCAACCTTCGATAAAAGAATGGACAGATACAGCTCCTTCTGACAGCCACCACCACCGACTGAGCCTGCCTCCTCTTCCCAAACGGGACAGTGTTTGTTTGCTCCTGATGACGTGGAAGCACACTTATGTTTAGGTGCAGATGCTAAACCTTGCCACCAGAATGTGCAGCAGGTGTCACACATTAACAGATAAGTCAGAATCCAAGCAGGAATCTCAGATTCCTACTTACTGACCATCCTTGAAAGACACCCTTACTGACCATCCTTGAAAACCATCTGAGCAAATCCCTATAAGCCTGGAATACCGCAAACGAGAACAAAATGTGTTATTGCAGATTTATTACGTCCTAAAAAATGCAGAGGGTATTCATAAAATACCACAAATCAGCACCCTTCTCTTTTTCTGAAGAAGAAAAGAGACACCAGCACAAAGAAGATGACTACATATATATATAAAAAAAATAAAGTTTAAAAATGTTTACCAGAAAAATGTTTTAGAACTTGACTAATCCCTTCCCAAGTAGTGAAAGGACCCATGTAGTTCAACAGTACAGTCATCATTTGTAAGAACATAAAACCTCAGAATTCACAAAAAGCAGGCAGCAGAACTACTACGAAGTTATTAACATACCATTTCCTTCAAGTTTTACTCTGTGCATTTAAGCACAGTTTTCTATTCAGGCTACCAAAATTCACTCTATGACCACATTTGTCATCAGCTTACTCAAATGCCCACTAGACTCAACAGAAGTGTTTAGTCTGACAATCAAATCCTTTGCTCACAAAATTTGTTCATCTTCTCTTGTTTTTGTGACAGTTCTTTCAACTTAGAAATAACAGTGAATTAACAACCAGGGCATCAACTCTGCTATTTCTGTAGTAGTGGTAGCACAGAGAGCAGTCCAGTATCCCACACTGGTATAATGGTCAGACCTACTGAACAACCAAGGTTAAAAATCCCCCGAAGACCTCAACTTCATTAAAAATAATGAATTAACACCCAAAAAAGGCTAGAAGGAACCTCAAGAGATCCTCTAGTCCTGGCCCTACTTTTGGAATGAAGAACCATTACTGGAGTGAAAGCACTACTCCACCTCTATGCTTATCAGCACGTAAACCACCGCCAAATGCCACCGGTTAATACTTTTTGCTATTGCCACTGTTAAGCAGACACGTACTCACTTGGAACTGGTCTGAAGTCAAATTTGACTTACATGCACCTCTACACCGCTCACCTAGAACAACCCACCGAATCTTCCACTCCACCACTTACTAAATGTCTTCACAAGCTTTGCACGTAGCATAAGCTTTTTCCCTCTTTCACAGTCAGAATTAAACTACACAGAGCTGCAGTTTTCACTTTGTCAAATGCTACATATTCATTTTTTATCAACTTTGGGATGTAAACTATAACACATGGAAACTGTTTCTTCCTGGAACATTGTCCAAAGTGAACTGCAGTCCGGGTTCCAGTAACTTGGAACCCCTTTTACTGGCTACTGACTTGCAAAAAAAGGTCATTTATTGAAAGGCGGCACCAAAGGTATTTCTAAAGAACATCAGCTACTTGTCCACGAGAAACTGCTCAAACCAAATTGTCACTTGCTTCTGAGGCAGAGGCAAAACGGCAAAAGAAAGAATAACAGAGCGGAAGAAAAAAGAAAAGAGAATGTGCATGTGAGACAGAAAGGTCATACAATGGAAACATGCAAACAAGTGGAAATATAAATCACGTACATTGAGAGTATAAATCAAGTATGTTAATAGTTTTGTAACTGCTAGTGGAAACAGAGACTTGATTCTTTATACCTTAGTGATCTCTGCAATAACACCTGATACTCTATCTCCAATTCTAGAACTACCTTACACTAACAGCTAAATACTAAACCTACAGCTAAGAATTCACAGTAAAAGGCTGTAGCGTTTACTACTCACTTAGACTCATCATAAGGCGTTTTGCAGATGCAGTAAAGCTTTGTGTCCTTCTTTGTTTCCTTTGAGGTAGTAGAAATCATTTTCTTTTTCTTGGACTTGGACGCCGATGAATCTTTCTCCTCCTCTCGCTTTCTCTTCTGGGAGGAGACTGGCATTGGGACTGTGGTGGAGGAGGAGGAGGTGACACCGGCTGCGTGCTGCTGCGGTG